CTTTATGGCCAACATCTTTTTCTTATATTTCCAACTAAATAAGCATTAACCACTGCAATTTTTGAGACACCATTAGGCTCTGGTGACACAAAAAGCATGTAAAATGCTATCTCAGCCCTCCAGCAACATCTATTTGAAATCCTACCCAGGTTTAGGAGTGCATCTTAGAAGCCCCCTTCCTCCTATAAATGTCCCCGTATTCCCCAAGCAGGATTAATCCCTCTCCAGTGTACCGCTTTTGCATTTTGCTTTACTTCCCTTACAGTCATCTCTTTCAGCTCTTTTGTACATCTGCTTTTCCCACTAATCGCAAACCCTTTCAAAATCAAGAGCTAGATATGTTGTCTTTTTAGTCTCTTGGCTTCTAGCACAGTATCACAAACAGATCATTGGGAAAGAACATCTGTTGTTTTGTCTGCTCATCATCCTCTCCTCTTTCTGTTGACAACAGTCACTCAATTTTCGTTTGGGAAATCAGCCTTCCTTCACTCTCTATTCTATGGTTCTAGAAGTGGTACATAACCTAGATGTGGTCAGAGGCACAGTGATTCAGATTTATGACTGGTCAAGGCCAATGGACATCATATCGGTGATTCTGGCTGGAAGGATTTGGAAAGAAACCCTCTTAACTGAGGTTGTTTAGCTGTTAAGCCATAAGCCTATAGTTATTGATGGTCATCTTTGCCAACGCATGGGGAAAATCTGATTATTAATCAAATAAACACAATGGAAAAGAGAAAATCGGAGGAGAGATAAACTCCCAGTAATATTACATCAGAATTTGCATCCAGACACCCTTGGACCTATTACCAGGAACTTTTTTGATTACAGAAATTCCCTCTGTATTTGTTTTCAGCTTTTTTTTCTTTACTCATTTTTTTTAAAGATTTATTTATTTTAAAAGAGAGAGAGAGGAGAGAGAGCACACATGCACACAAGTGAGGGGAGGGGCAGAGGGAAAGAATCTCAAGCAGACTCCCCACTGAGTGTGCCACAGGACTCAATCCCATGACCAATGAGATCATGACCTGAGCCAAAATCACGAGTTGGATGTTTAACCAACTGAGCCATCCAGGC